TGTATATATATTTATTACATATATATATGTATATATATTTATTACATATATATATGTATATACTTTATGTATGTGTGTTCCAACAGGAAGTGAATCTGAATTGCTCAGATTAAATCTGAATGTGCAGGATTTGTAACTGAATGCATTGGTTTGAAAACAAATTTTACTAAACTGAAACTGAATTTAATGTTTAGTGGGCCAATGACCACACCCCCTTGATGACATCACACCCTCCTGATCAGTTCTGGTTCTGGTGGTTTCTTCACAAAATGAAGCATTTAGATCAGAAACTGAGTCAAACTTTTCTTTAGTTTCTGCTTTAAAACAGGAAGGAGCTTTGACCTTCATCCTCCTCTTCTTCATCCTCCTCTTCTTCATCCTCCTCTTCATCCTTTTCTTCATCCTCCTTCTCCAACAGGAAGTGGACGTCCATGAGAGCAGACTGACCTCCCCAGCAGCCATCTCGTCGACTCCCAGCAGCATCAAAGAGTCCAAAGTCAGCACCAACAATGCCGTGATGGCGTCGAGCATCCCGGCAGTCGCCGCCAACCCTTCCCAGAATGCACCTGGAGGCGGCGGCGGGAAAAGCTCGGAGGAGATGAGGAAGCTGTTCATCGATCGAGCCAAAAAGATCGACACGGTGTCGCGGGCCGGCTTCCCTCTGGCCTTCCTCTTCTTCAACATCTTCTACTGGGTCCTCTACAAGATCCTGAGACATGAGGACGTCCACAAGCTGTAGAAGACATTTAGTCCACTTCCTGTTCCTGTCCAGGGGGATGCTCTGACAGGAAGTCAGCTTTCAATCAAGGTTCTTTCAAGTGCTAAATGTTTGTTTGGACTTTGCTTTTCAAAGAAGCAAAGTTTAAAAATGGTGCCAACAATGATCTGCCAATGATCTGCAACAGGAAGTGAACAGGAAGTGAACAGGAAGTGAACAGGAAGTCTTCTGTTAGCGATGTAACCGATGCTCAGTGACAGTTACTGATGGAGACAGGACGTTCTGCTGCAGGTTCTTCATTCAAACAGAACTTCTGAGCTGCTCTGACTTCATGGAATCAGATGGTAGTCCTGTGCAAAAGTCCTGATCCGTCCTTGTCTCTTTAAGTTTCCCTCCAGATCCAAAGTCTCCTAAAAGATTCATCTGATGATCATCATTAAACACAAGAAGAAGAAAAACACATCTTTGCTTTTATTACAGCAGAGTTTCTCCTCTGGTGTTTAGTGTTGATAACAAACAAGCAAAGAAACAAACAAACAAACAAAGAAACAAACAATCAAACAAACAAAGAAAGAAAGCTGGAGAGACGCCCTCCAGTGATGAGCCAGCAGGAGGCGCTGTCAGCTCGTCTTACACTGACGGGCAGACTCCGCCCCTGAGACGACAGCTGTGAGGACAGAAGTAGAGACATGTCAGGTTTTTGTCTGAAGACACGTAAACAAACTGAGTGTGTAACAACAAAGAAAACTTAAAACAAACAAACATCTTGAATAAAAACAGGTTCTAATCAGGCTCTTCTCAGGTTTAATGATTCTAATCTAACTCCAGGTCCTGCTGGCTCCTCAGGATCTCAGTGGGCCAGGATCAGGACCTGCTGATCCTCCTCTACCTGCAGCTCAGAGGTCATTTAGAGTCCAGCTGACAGGCTTCACCCTGCAGGTCAGACCGTGCAGTGAGGTTTTTGATGACTCTCTGGAATCTGATAAAGTTCTGATGAATAAAAGTGACTTTTTATCTTTGTACTTTTATAATCTGCACCAGTTTCACTGCCACAACATCAACATGAACACATCTGTAGAGTTTATAACCAAAAGTTTGTGTGACCTGTCTTCACCCTGACACTGGTTCCACATGTCCAACAGGGACAGAGACTGAGACAGACTGAGACTGAGACAGACTGAGACAGACTGAGACTGACTGAGACTGAGACAGACTGAGACTGAGACAGACTGAGACAGACTGAGACT